TCAGAATGGTCTAGCCGAAGCTTTTATCAAGAAAATTCAGCTCATAGTCCGACCCCTCCTTTTTCATTCTAAACTTCCAACTTCTTATTGGGGTCATGCTGTCCTTCACGCTGCCGTTCTTTTACGTCTTAGACCAACCTTACTCCATACTCAGACACCGCTAGAACTAGCATCCGGACGAGTCCCGCATATATCACATCTTTGAACCTTTGGTTGTGAGGTTTGGGTACCTGTTGCAGATCCAAAAATGAGATCCATGGAACCCCATAGAATCAAAAGTATATATCTTGATTTTGACTCCCCGAGTATTATTCGATACAAGTTACCCGATAGAGATGATGTTTACAAAGCTAGATTTCAGAACTAAAAATTCATAGAAACTCGTTTTCCCGGCGCTAGACACTTCAACCATATGGAACTTAACTTTAGAGCCCAAGAGACTCTCACCTTAAACCCAGATCCACGAACAGCACTTACAGATTCCGAGGTTAGAAAACTTCTAGACTTGCAAAACCTAGCCGAAAAACTCCCTGACGGATTTCAATCCGGCCCTAGAATACTCCAAAACTCACTACCTGGGTCAGGAAACCCCGTGCCCGCTTCAATACCCAAGAAACATAAGACTCATACACGAGCAGCACTCATAGTAGAACAACCCGAGAAACCTTCATATCTCTGGTCAAATCCTGAGTCATTTGTAACCAGTCTTACTAATCTGATTTTGATCCTACTACTTTAGATCAAGCTAGGAAGCGACCAGATTGGCCACAGTGGGAAGAAGCATTACATGCCGAGTATCAATCTCTCCGCAAGCGTTTAGTATTTGGACCACTTGTAACAGATCTTATAGTCAAACCCATAGGTCACAAACTTATATTCACTAGAAAACGTGACGAACACGGAAACGTAATTCGTTACAAGATACGTCTAGTTGCAGAAGGATATACTCAAAAACCAGGAATTGATTTTGACCAAACATATTCGCCTGTCATGGATAGTACTTCATTCCGCTATCTTTTAAGTCTAGTTGTACAACTGTCACTTGAAACACATCTCAGTTGGATGTTGTCACTACCTATCTCTATGGCGACTTGGATACAGATCTGCATATCAAACCTCCACCAGAGTTTGTGCCACGCTTGCCAACAGTCCAACTAGGACATTTTCACGGGCTACGCATCCGGAAGGCACTCTATGGCTTGAAACAAGCCGGAAGAGCATGGTATCATCACTTGAAGTCCTATTTGATTTCTAGTGGCTTTCAAAATCATCGTGCTCTACCATGCATCTTTGTTTTGAAGAAAGATAAACAATTTGTGATCCTCACAGTATATGTTGATGATTTGAACTGTATTGAAACATCAGCATTGAGCAAGCATGTTGAACTCATAGTAACTAAACAGTTTGAGATGAAACTGTTAGGCAAAACATCATATTGCCTTGGCCTCCAAATTACTCATCTTGCAGATGGAAGTATGCTTCTTCATCAACAAACTTACGCTCGCAAGCTTCTGAAGATGTTCAACATGGACAACGCGAATGCCCTATCAACACCTATGATAGGGAGGAGCAAAACTGACGATGATCCCTATCGTCCTGCTGAAGCCGAGGAGGAGGTGTTGGACAAACCAAAGTATCTAGCAGCCGTTGGCGCACTTCTCTACTTGGCGACAACGACTCAACCCGATAGCAGTTTTGCCGTCAGCGTCCTCGCCCGTCACAGCCAACGCCCCACAACACGACACTGGCAAGGCATCAAGCACCTCCTCAAGTACATCCGAGGAATAGAAGATCTCGATCTTCATTTTTGCCGCGGCCAGAATGATATTATAGGCTATGCCGACTCTGGGTTCAAATCATATCCAACAACTGGCAAGTTCCAAACATGCTACATCTTCATAAAAAATGGAGCAACCATTTGTTGGTTGCTCCAACTTGATGTTGCAACCATTTGTTGGAGATCAACAAAACAAGCAGTCACGGCAATTTCAACAAATCATGCCGAGCTTCTTGCGTTTCACGAGACAGCCTGAGAAGCAGTGTGGCTTTGCACCATGCAGACCGCTATATCCGAGATGGCTGGATTTCCATATCAAGAGAAGCCAACAACCATTTTTGAGGATAACGCAGCTTGTATTGAACAAGTATCTTCTGGTTTCATCAAGTCAGACCGTGTCAAGCATATTAGTCCTCATTTGTTCAGCTACACACAGGAGCTCACGGAGATGAGCCAGATTGCAGTGCGAAATATAGCTTCCGCGGAGAACATTGCAGATATACTTACTAAGGCATTACCAGCTCCGCAGCATCGAAAACTGATAGCCGTAGCAGGAATGCGAACTTTGTCAGAACTTATAGACAATAGTTAAATTAGAATGCGAACGATGACTCTACTCTTTTTCTTCAATCTCCTTGAAGTTTTTTAATGAGGGAGTTCATCGTTCGAGGAGGAGTGTTGAGATCGGTTATCTCTAAATATAGGGAGGGTTTACCCTAACCCCACCGATAGAGTATCTCTAAAGTTAAGGAGGGTTTAGCCTAGCCCTAAGATGCATCGAGACTTCTAACCGCAAGTATCTCTAAATATAGGGAGGGTTTACTCTAACCCCACCGATAGAGTATCTCTAAAGGTAGGGAGGGTTTACCCTAACCCCACCGATAGAGTATCTCTAAAGGTAAGGAGGGTTTAGCCTAACCCTAAGATGCATCGAGACTTCTAACCGCAAGTATCTCTAAATATAGGAAGGGTTTACTCTAACCCCACCAATAGAGTATCTCTAAAGGTAGGGAGGGTTTACCCTAACCCTAAGAAGCATCGAGACTATTAACCGCAAGTATCTCTAAATATAAAGGGTACACTAACCCTCACTTACATATAAATATGGGAATGTAACACCCTCCAAGATCATTCAATACACTTTACTTCGAGAGTATTTAATGTGAGCACCGTCGAGAGGGAGAGATCCGAGAACATTGTTTCTTTTGCCTCACTATTTAGTTCTCTTTCAGTTTTACTTCTCGCAACAATAACAATGTAGAACATCAACTGAGGAACTCTTCCTTGAATTTCCATGTTCTTGTCATACCTGTTTAATAAATAGAACTTTAAACATGAATAGGAGGTTGTTCGGCCGAGGTTTCATTCGAACTGATATGGAATTGATAAGAATGATAAATTTGAAATAATATGAGGTTACAAGTACCTTATCCACTGTTTCTTTCCAGTTTCTCATTGTCCTCAAATTGTACACCCGTCGATCCGATTCCATCTCAACATGATAGCATCATGTTGCTTTGATTTGATTCAGTCAACCCTTTTACTCATCTTAGCTACGACACATGAATAACAAATAATTAGATACTGCAGTACCATCTTGCAAAATTGCAATAGATATAGGATCTGAAATACCATGTCTCTATTGAGTGAATACCAAGAATGACGTGCAATCACATGTCAATCTTCTTCACGTTGAAGACTAAAGGAGAGTCACAATAGTCTGATCAAACTAATCGCTTCGAGACATGGAATATACCTTTTCATCACGGTTTGTGAATCTAAAAAGGATATGTTGAGAAATCTAAAAAATCTACTAGGAGAGTGCATTATAAATCTATCGCTCATTCAAAAATTTTTGGGCGGTTTGGAATGAGACTGTTTTATATCCTTTTTAGGCATTGAGATATATCTTATACTTTATGTTAACATGTCATACTTGATAAATACAATTTGTAGAGATACATAATTTTTTATACATACAAAAGTCATCCAATACTTTGAATTCACACTTGTAGGAAATTACAACGATTTTTTACGAGTAGAATTATTAATCTGAGGATTTAAGGTATATTTGACTGTCATTGCATTTCTTTGAAATCTTCAAACAAATATTAATATTTTTTAATCTTTCTATTTGAATGAAATACTTATCGATTTTTTCTAAATGAAGCTAATTTTTTGTGTGTTTTTGTATAAGCACATCCTATCATAGACAAGGGCCATCAGAATTACTGAAATAGTCTTGAATGAAGTGAAATTTTGTTTCTGATTACCGGTACCTCAAATAGGTTTTGAAAAAATGACTGGATACTCCTCAAATCGTATAATTTCGAAGTTCAATGTATAGCATATTAGATAATTTTATCACTTGACTTAAACTGTCTTGTTGTACATTAAAGAATTTACACACTTGCTAGATCAACAAATTAAAAAAATTATAAAGATTATGAATAAAATAATCGTTTGATCAAAATTAGAAACTATATGATTATGATATTTCTACGTTATGCGTATCAAACATATTTTTGAAAAATCTAAGAATACATATAAAGTCCATTATCATATCTGTTTTTATGCAGATCCTAACAATCTGATCTTATTGTTGTAATCCGCCGTTGTCTTATTACTTTATTCTTGTAACTTGCATCAATAAAAATAATAATTTAAAATTTATATATATTATTGGAACGATACAGAAAAGATTAACATGGCACTTGTGCAAGGATGACACGCACAATCCTATCAAAAATAAAACGAATATTGCAATAATTTTCATTTTCCCTTCACAGTGGTCGAAGGTTCGAGCGATGGAGTTCTTGCCATGGTGCTCAGCTTTCCAGTAGGACAACGAAGAGTCCGGCGGACGAAAGTACCGGGTCGATGAATTCGGACCAGGCGAGTGCGAGCGATGTTCACCACAAACGGACTAGCGACGTGGTGACTCGGAACCACGTTAGGATTCTACCACACGACGCTGTGTACTGTAGTAGTAGAGAGCGGTCGAGAGGAGCGCTCTCTAGACTGGTGACGGAGCGCAAGTGCTCGATGCAGCAGCGAGCGAGCGAGAGATCAGTGCCACTGCTCGACGTTGCAAGCGGCAGCGGCACCCACGTGTCAGCCTGCTCGCTAGCTCATACAAGATAGAGAAACCGAAAGAGAGACAGAGGGAGGGATTTATCTCCATCTCGTGGTCGCATCGAGAGAGAGAGAGAGAGGGAGAGTAACTGCTCTTCTGCTGCAGCAGAGGACGCAAATTAACTTTCCCGTTGCGCTGCGGGAGAATCGGGACCCGTGGGATTGCGACCTCGTCACCTTTTGCGTCAACTTCCTCTGGACCGAGTTGGAGAATCTGTGTCGCTTTCGCTTTCGTGCTTCGAAGAGACGGAGCGGCACCCCGCGCGGATAGCGAATGTTGTGATGTCTGCGCGAGCTGAAAAGAGCCTGGCTTTGAGAGGTCAGGTGTGTGTGGAAACAGGGTTGGGGTTTAGGTGGAGGAATGCTTCGTGAGAGTTGCTCACGGGGCGAGGACACCGACGGAGATGTTGATGGTTTCGGTGCTAATTGGGCAGGGGGTGAGGAATTATGGGAATTACTGCTGCGGAAGAAGAGCCGGAGTAGGAGGATGTAGCTGAATTTTGCAGCGATGTATTTTATACGTTCTCTAGCACAATCTCATGGGAGAGCTGTTGCATTGCCGGGAGGCATTACCATCCTCTTCGCACGTGCCTTTTGGAAGCAGCGCTTCTCTGAGTCGTGCGGCTTTCAGCAGGTCTTATGACGTCAAATTCCGGAGGCTAAGCGCCTTCAATGCGCTCGGAACTGCGAGTTCCGGGCAGAGACTGCGTAGAAGTTTTGCTGGCGAGGAAAATTGTCAGTCTTCATGTGACGGCTGCACTTTTCACCGGTTTAGCGTTAGGAGTAGCACCTGGACCGCAGGCCTTCGCGGTCACTTTTCTCGGACAGGGGATGACAGGGCAGCTAAAACTTATGGTGGATTCTGCACTGATCATCTAGCCAAGAGAAATGAATTTGATCATGGCAAGCTGAATGGGACGGATGGCATTACGGAAAGTAAAGCCCTTTTCAGGGCCGGCCCTAGCACCCTCTGCTGCACAGGAAGAGAAGGCATTTGTAGTCAGTTTTCTAAATTCGACATTCATTGTTGTGGACGAAGGGTCCATTCACACTCTTCCTATTTTCTCAATACCTTAACACCCTTACAGTCTAGTCTAGTGAGAAGTAGAAACGTGTATTATAGAGATCCTACTATTTTTTATAGGAAGAGAAGCAGCCACATTGTAAACGCAAAGTCCAATTCTTGGTGGAAAGATTTCTTGTTCAAACAACTGAACGACGATGATATTGTTTATGGGGAGGACGAAGAGGATGATGGTCCAGATGGGCCTGAGGATTTCGAGGATGAAGCAGACTTTATCTCGAACATAAATGGTGACAACGGAGAGATAGATCCCGATCCCGACGAAGTTGATCGTCTGTTATCTGATGATCGCAAGTTCTTCTCGTGGCAGCAGAAACGGGAGGCAATTGATGAACTTCGAGAGTATCAGGAGACGGAGCGAGACCCGGACAGCCGTGACTGGGAAGACTGGTTGGATGAGAGCTGGAGTGATCCGATAACAGCTGGCAGGGGAAAGGATGGTGGTTGGTATACTCCCCAGTCTGAGTGGGAGAAGGAAGGTGTTCCTAGAGATGCTCCGAAGAAACCAGAGCGTGGTATGAATAGAACTATCAAAGAATTGCTGCTACGAATTTTTGAAAATCAGGAGGAAGTTGAAGATGATCTCAATTTTGAGGAGAGAGTGTTTCGGTTCACTTCCCAGTCAACGGTGAGCATGAATGCTTTTTTCCTCATTTTCATGCCATAGTTACTTTGTTTACAAACTATTCTGTCGACATCTCTTTTCTTTACTTTGTTTTGTTTTATGCTGAGTCTTATGTGCTCTCTCCCTGGCTTGTGTTGCCTGCATTTATAGTCGAGGAATAGATGAGGGGTTCATCTTTTATGCTTATTGGTTTCACTGCTTATCAAAACTCATGTTTCTTAAAATGGATTCTATGTGTCTTCGAAGAGTCAGCGTCTCTCCATACTCTTTAGTGTAACGTGAAGCAGGAGGAAAAGAATAACGGCTCCTTTGTCACCAAGCGGCTAGCATTCGTTTTACATAAAGACTTCTCCGCGATATCTCTAGATTGAGCAGTACACTCTAGGCAATATGTATAAGCTAGCAACATGTATAAGCAAAAGTGCCGTTTCTATTTTCACTTGTTCGCTAAATCATCGTTTCGCCTTTCACTTGCTCCTAAATTATTATCATCGAAGTACCGCACACATTAGTCAAGGGTTCGTTGTACCAAAATTAATAAGGGAGGATTATTTGTGAATTGCTAATTTGACCGTATGTTTTGAAATCTACTTTTTCTGTTGCTCTCACTAGCGGTTAATTCAATTGAACACACGAGATTTAACAGTCGGTTACGCATCTTTGCCAACATTTTTGCAGGCCAAATTTGTAACCATCTTAATTTTGGTGCCATGGGCAGTGGACTTTTTTGTGCACGATTTTGTCATGGTTCCCTTTCTGAGAAGGTTAGACACTCCTTACCGTGCACCCATTTTATTACCACTGAAACGCCTTTCTCTTTTCTACCTCAAGTTTATGATGGATTGCCTTCCCAGAAATATGAACACAGATGTATCCCGTTCCAACTTCGTCTTGTTTTCTCCATCATTCACCGATAGATTTTGGCATGTGGCAGCTCATAGAGCACATGCAGTACTTGTGCATCTTGATGCGCGAATTCTTTAGTTTAGTAGTCCAGGAATCCCATCACTCACGGGATGGGATTCCTGGATGGGATTTTTGTCGGTTCGTGCCAGTCGCAATCTAACATTGTCTACCGAGCTTATACAGCACTGTGTTGAACTTCTCTAAACTGCGGTAAATTCTAAATCTTGACTGAACTCATCGCGTATATATGTAGGTGGGTTGAGGAGGTGCCACTTGCAGCAAAAGTATTGGATTTGAAGGAATCACAAAAGTTACATCTGATTGAGGAGTTGAAACTGGAAAGGCAGCGGGTGCGGTTCGAAGCAGAAATCGGCAAAGCGCCTCCTTTGACAGATGAGGAACTTAATGAGCACATCCGCGAAGAAGCGTGAGTTTTTCACTTAACTTTGTTGTCTGCAACTATGTGGCAGGTTAGAAAGTGGAGTCTACCGATTAGTTTCATCATGTGTGGGCGAGTTCGCATCCAGATTATGTTTCTCCAGCTATTGGATTACTGGGCTAAGGCATGACAAACTAAAAACTGAATGCTCAAAAAAAAATGTGGTGTATGACAGGGACGTCGTAATAAGCACAGGGTTGGAGCAAAGATATTTATCTCGTTTTTCTTATGGACCATTGTTGATGACCATATTAACTTGTGTTGGCCAGATGCCGAATGGATGATTCAAGGGTTGGGCTCAGGGACCTTGGATTTACTTTCTGGATACTTCGCAGCATGCTGGAATGATTTGTACAATGTGGTCTGGTTTGTTTGGTAATAGCAACCGGGTGTTGGCCTTTTGCAGACTGGAGTTAAGGGAGGAATTAAGAGAGGAGAACAGGCAAGCCTTCGGCAACCTATGGTCGGACGCTCTAGCTGGTTTTACCGTTTTTCTACTCCTTGTTCTCAACCCATCTCAGGTAACTGGTCCTACTTAATTTCTCCAAGTAATTTGAAGATCAGTTTGGGGATGAATGTGTCCCATGCATCGTTGAACCATCTACAACCTTAATTGATAACCGTTTCAAAGTCAGCTACTTCAGATCCTACAAAATTCTGAAATACACCATCTTTTAAAGTTGTATAGGACGGTGAGTTGTTCTTTTTCAGATCCTTTTGTTCTTCAATAAGATCTGTTGAACTTGTTGAACTAATGCTCGACGTGATTCTTGAACGATCTATATCTACAGGTAGCAATCATGAGAACGACAGGAGATCGCCTCTTCACAAATATTTCTGATACGGGAAAAGCTTTTATTATCATCCTTGGTACTGATATTTTCTTGGGGTAAGCCCTTGAACCTGCTCCCTTTGTTTAGTAACTGGTCGTGTTGTCTCTCAATGGAAGACGCAAAATATTACCAGTTTTATAATAAAATATAACCCTAGTTTTCTCTGGATGTCTGTAGGTACCATTCTGAATCCGGTTGGGAGACTGTCATAGAGATGTTACTGGATCACTATGGGCTTGAGGCTTCTCAGGCTTCAATCTATATTTTTGTCGCTATCGTTCCAGTTACGATTGATGCCTGCTTCAAGCTTTGGGTACGTATATGTTTCGGTATTTGACGAGATGTGAGGAAATCAGCGAATAGAACTGGATAGCTCGTTATTGCAGAGAATGTTTATTATCAAACGTTTACCATGCAAGCAGTCATTACTATCTCATGCAAATTCTAATTAGACAACTTGTTGTGCCAGGTATTTCGTTATCTTACAAGACTCTCCCCTTCAGCAGCTGCCACTTTTAGGGAAATGAAGCGACATTAAGGAAAAAGAGGGTTTCATTAGTATGTGCCTCTCTCTGGAAAAGAACCTGCTCATGACTCTGCTCAACGTGGGTATTCAGTTTTGAGTGATCACAGAGTCCTCCAATAAATAGGTTACTGTACTAGTAGATAACCTGAAGGCCCTTTACACAGAGCACAACGCTCAACAACGGCATTGATGTTGGTTCCCCCAACAACTCTTGCTTCCATGCATCAACTCAGTCCCGATAAAGTCTCGTTCCTTCACCCAAGGTATAACAGGTGTTTTAGGTTACTTAATCCTTTTTACACCTTGTAGAGGAACCACCTATGAAAAGCATTTTTATCTTACTATGTGTTCTCGTTGGAGGTACCTCTGCCGACATTGAACACTTTACTACTCCCAGTAATTGCCATTCCAAATTGTGGTCTATCTTATCACAAGAGTCACTAGTCTGAGAAACTAATTCATCATGCAAGTCTGTTCATTTCCTTCTATAAGCGGAGATGTTCGCTGATATCCTCGGGGAGAGTAAATACAAACATGCTTGTAAATAGCGAGGACGTGAATTCAAACCGAAACGAGCTAACTTCGTCCGTGCTAGCAGGGCCTGCAAACTAGCGGTAGGACCTATGGTCCACGAACCAACGAGCGTATCTGAATTTGCATTCTCCCGTCGCGATGTCGCCACTCCCCAGCACAGTTGGCTAGCGCAAGTGCCGTTGTTGCTCAAGCGATGGTTTCTCAGTCTGGTTTGTATCTGCTCTTCTACCACGTGAGTCGCACATGTCTTGAGAAAAGCTGTACATCACTTGATTTCTCACGACGTGGCAAAATATGTCAGCTTCTTTTGTTTTCAAACCAATCTCAAATCTGATATTTCACAACACACTCTGCCCATTACTTTCATATTCTCCATTTCTCCTAGTAGTTATGGAGGTGTGTAGCAGGAAGAGACAAGCAGTACCGACATGAAGGGCTGGCTCGTGAGCACACGTAGTAACAACCATCGACCCTACTCGGGGCCATATTCGTCTTGTACGTTGGATTGAGTTACTTCATCTTTTCTGAGAGGATAAAGAAGGATTCTGATCCATTAACTCGGAAGACTTCTAAGAAGAGTAATTACAATCTGAAACACCAACGCCCAATTCGAGACAAGACTATAGAACGCTCTACCATGGTACGTCTGAATTCCGAGAGAGAATGGTAGACCGAATCGAGCATGTCGTCTCGAACAAAAGATTTCTCGAGTCGAGGCGCAGTCTTTATAAATAGAGAATTATTTTTGAGAGTGCAACATTTAGGAAGGCAAATGAAAATAGAGATAACTATAAATGTCGGATAATCAACGTACCCATTGGCCTGACAGCCACAGACGGACGGAGAAATGATCCATGCAGATGGCAGATGGACAGGAGGCGCCACTGCCATCGTCCGCGGATCCGTCCAGTGCACGAGGAGGAGGACGGAGTGCATGCGCAAAGAATCATCCATCGGATGATCACGACGATCAGATCGATCGATCTCGACGATCGGCTCGCATCTGAGCCACACACGACATGTGGCTGCTCCCGGTGCTTGTCACACGTAATCCGCGCTCTCGTAATGTAATCGGTCGCTTTGCTCGGCAGCGGCATTTGCTGCCGCCTTGATTGCAGCTCTGGTCGTGAGACCGATCGATGGCCAGATGTGGATGTTCTTGCCCTCTTTCGATCCGCGTGGTAGCGTCTCGGTCTCGTTCTGTCAGCTACGTCATCCGACTCGTCCTGTCACCCGGAGGCCGCGTCGTAGCATCTTGAAGAGGACGAGTACCTTGTGCCTGTACTATGCCGGGAGGAAGGGCAGGCGGCTAACTCTGAAGCAGGTTCCTCCGCTTCTGGTAAGGACCGCGGTCGTAATGCAATTGCTTTTACGGTCGCTCTCGAGCAATCATCGGAACCACACCCAGACTGATCGTGCTGCGTGCACTTGGTCGGACGTCTCGGGCGAAACTCTGAAAATTTGCCTCCGGGGGCTGGATTGCGCTTGGTTCAAGCAGTTAGCTGCGTCTGTGTAGAATTGGATCAATCGGGCGGGAAGTAGTGGTTGGAGGGCAAGGGCGGGAAGCGCGCCGTTGGAATCTTGAAACAAGAACGAAGAGTGGGAGTTTTGGTTGATCAATAAAATAGAGTAGAAGTGGTTTCTTTCACTGGACTTGAGTCTTTCCGCAAGATGCTCACTTCAGGCACTCTATGCCAATTTTGAAGCTCAAGGTATCGTCGTTTGTCATGAATCTTGACGATCTCTCCATTAATTCTCAGTTGTACGTGCCTTCTTCTGTAGGTGTGACAAAAAAATCTGAACGTTTCCTTACGACGGACACCAGGAGCAGACTTTGAGTGTTAGCTTCTGTGAATCACGATTACCTGCAAACCCTCGTTAGTGACAGAATTATCTCCGAAGGAACACCTCTTTATCGAGTATCACCCCTGCTCTTCTATGGTTACAATGGCAGTCGAACGAGCCTCCATGAGTGTCTTTGGTGGCCCTAGGGTAATCACTCCTGAAACTGCCAAATTAGGGAGCAAAAGTAACCTGCCTCTAGGATTGGCCTCAGGAACTCGAAGACGAATCTCACCTCTTTCCAGTCGAAGAGGCTGGGTTGGATCGCAAGTGGGTTTCAGTTCATTTCGCCAGGGTGTACCTCTGAGAAAGACACTTCAGGCAACAAACGGCAGCCGATGGCATGCCACTTGGCAAGATAACTCGTAAGTGCTTATCCTTACTCGCATCCGATCTTTCGAGTGTAAAGGTTACTCTCTGTAGAAGTCATCATAGTCCTGATGCAATCAGGGCTCCAAGAATTTGCTCTTGTCCTGATTATCTCCTTGTTTTTGAAGAGCGATGGTGGAGACAGATGTTCCGATTGAGGTGGCTTGGGCACTGTGGAATGACCGAGAAGGCGTTAATCGCTGGATGCCCTGGATCGACTCAGTTAAGGTATGGACTTCGAATCATGCTTGTTTCGCAACTAAGATTTTGATATGACAGATCTTTCCTATCAGGAGTAAAAGTCCATGTATTGAAAAGAACCCTCCAGGTCCATGGAACCATTCATGGGAATGGGACGTGTATGCAATTTAGGTATTGAATGGTAACTTGTTTGGTAAGAGAAGTTTCATAGCAGGACAAGTGGCTAACGATGACCTCCGACCACGTGGAGTGTTTTGCAGATCCAAGAAGATCAACCAGAACTCTCTAAATGGACACTAAAGTACGAGGCTTTTGGTCAAAGGTTCGAATTCTCCTGGCTTGCTCGCAATCTCAAGGTACTCACGACAGACACGAAAGGGATACTTTATGAGTTTGACGACTTTTTGTATGAAAGGCTCAACAGGTCTCTTTAATCATCTTAGTGTTTTAAAGTCTTACGCGTATGTTTTTTCAGTTGCTTCTCTAGGCTTGGTCAGTACCCAGAATTAGGACTGGAACTGGATGAAAGTGATGATTGTGTCATAGATGACATTGTTGAACATTTATGTCTTCACCTCGTTAAGGGTCACAGGTCAGTACTTTTGAGTAGATTATGAAGGTGCATACGAATCATCTGACTTGAACGTGATGTATGCAGCCCATCTTTCACCAAAAAATACATTGGCGCGCTGTAGATGGACTACCGAACAGGTAAATTGGAAACAACTCTCTTTATACGTCCCTTTTTTAAGAGAAAGTCGATTACATTCACTCGCACATTTACTTCATTATAAATCTTATGCGTTCGTTGGATTCTGAAATTTCAAATTTCCAAATTATTTGTTTCTCTATTGCTGAAAAAAGATGATATCCAAGGACTAAGTGAAAATTTTGATCGAAACTAAAAGTTTGTAGAGGTTGGTTCGATTATCATTTTTCACTTAGCTTGGAATCTATTACCTTTCTCATGTTCGTGACTCTGTGAGTTGAAGCCTACTATCTCTTGTGTAGTAAATGGTGTTTTGACAACCGTTGCGATGGTGGATTATTATTATGATCTTATTTCAGGGGAGCAGTGCGGTTTTATCCTCGGGGTCCATCGTCTTGTGGTGTCCAGGTCTGTATATCTCACTCATTCTTGATCGGGTGCTAAACTCGGCTCATAGTCTTTGTACAGCTCTATGGCCATTAAGATGTTTTGGACGTCTGGAAAGTATTAGTTTGTGGAAAGTATTTTGTTAAAGTAAGTTAGAAACAGCCCTCTGCCCGTGTTGTGATTTCTCTGGGACGTACTGATGAGTATCGATATCATTTTCTTCCCTCTATGCAGCTAACAATATCTTATGAGGTCCCTCAAGTGCTCTCCGGATTGGCTTCGGTAGGCTCTTCAACCTTTCAATGAAGCATGTTTATGTCAATCTCCACAACAAATTTGTTCTGTTTGTCTTTCAGCGTGTCATAAACTGAGTTATGTACCAGCAAAGCTCATGTATGCAGATGTGCCTTCAATGTGTCTCATTACAGGTTATGAATGAAGAGACAACATGCTAACGCTGACTGATCGTTCAAGTACTTCCAAACTGTGCAGGCTCTTTCTCCTCTAGTAGAATCAATTCTTAAACAAGACATGGAGCGCTTTGCAAAATTCGCGAAGCAACACAGTTTGGAATCACAGCCGATGTAAATTGAAGCTTGTTTGAACTGGCCGTACACAAAGGTGTTAGCCGTTCGGAAGAAAGGCTTGTCTCGGAGCTATGTCTGGGTTGTTACATTGGATAGAGCCAGGTGTAAGATTAGATGGTGTCCACTGCAATCGGGCTGGAGACTGTTGTAACGTTGTACAAATGCTCATTCTTGCGAGACTGTATAGTAATTCCGGCTCAGGTTGTTGTTCAGGTTGTCGTAGAACGATGAATCATGAAACATCATCAACTTGTAATTTTGTAAGACTGTATCACTCTCGATGCTGTTGTGATTAATGACATTATTATGTTCCATATCTTGGCTAAGAGTATGTTTCTTCGTTCTTATTGTTGCGAACAATAAGAACGTTTTCTTCTTTTCGGAGGTTCAATTGAGAATCCGTGTAGTTGGCCACCGTGTCGGTTTTTTTGAGTGTACTGGTTGCATGCTAATGTTTTTTTTCTGGTTGATCTCAAGCGCACATGCGCAAGATCGCATTAACTTGCACACATGGTGCACTAAATAAAAGTTGCGAAAGCAGGAATTGAAACCATGAGCATCTACAAGCTATTTCCTGAATAGAAGTCCTGAATTTCCTGAAACAAATGGGGCTACAACTTCTTAGCCCGGAGCTCCGGATATACATCTAGTGAATGTCCCTTGCCATGCAAGTTACCTACTCAACCCTATACGATCATCACATCTTGAAACTATCAACGATGAATTAAGAACACACCTTGCGTTCTCATATGGAAGCATTTCGAGGATTCTCTTGGAGTACGGATTACAAAATTCACGTCAGATCAAGATTCCGAATGGAAACTAGAGACCCCCTATCTTTGATGCTGTGTTCAAGAATGTGGTTCTCGTCTCTCACGAGAAATAAGCGAATATGAGGTATAGCAATAAATTTCAATTTATATTTCTCATATATTTATTTATTTATCCATCCAAAAAGATAAATAGATCAATATTTGAGTTCCAGTGTATGACCTTTGAGAAAATCCACTTTCTTGGAGAGCATCGAGTGCAAAATCATTACTGAACATATGATTCTAATTAATTTTCTTCAAAGAATTGAATTCTATTCCATATGCAGAATGATTATTATTAAACTCCTGATCCTCGTGCTTACATGTTTGATGGAAAAAGTGATAAAATAATTGTTTTATTTCTTGGAAGCAGTAGGTTTATTCCATGTCATTGGGATCATAAATGGCAACATTTTCCGAATAGGAACAAAGATTTAGAAGAAATTAGAATAATCAAACAGAAGATGGAGAAGGAAAAAGTATTAAAAAATGGAAAATTTGAAAGTTGACTCGAAGACAAGATGATCGATAAAAGTGCGAGCATAAAAAATCAACCTACTAAGATGACCAATGGAAAAAATTGCAAAATAATTAGGGTTGAAAGAGATGACTTATATGAACATCATCAAGAAGTTGCAAGTCTGAAGAACGAGATCTTAAAAATGCATGGAGAGTATGTGTGGTAATTGAAGAATTTGGAATACGCATTCTTGTCATAGTATTGGACTTTCCAGGTGACGGAAGGAGAAGGTGAGAGGGGTAGGATTGGAGGCATAACAGATTTTTTCGGGGCATGCCCATGACCCCTTTCAACATCAAAAGGCATGCCCGTTTTACAATACATACATTTGATGTATCAGAAAGTAGTATCAATCAACAAGAAAATGAAAGCTTAAAACCTAGAACAGACTATAGCAGAATCTCCAAATGTCTATCTAAGGAATCAAAGAAAACCAGAAAATCCCTTCGTAAATTGAAAGTGTAATTTCCTACTGAGCCATGTTCAATTTTAAACAGTTTTATTTCTTCACTTATCCCACAGTTTATAACTCTAAAATATAATATTTTAGAGCTATGTTTAAACCTCAAAGGGCTTTTGAGGTTGTTACTCCAGCTCTAGAGAGGGTAATATCCTTGTACATTTACATTTTGGCTTTATACGAAGAAAAGAGTATGATCTTTGGAACAGGACCTTTTGGACCAATTATCGATTTGTGCTTGTCATCCTTGCGCAGGGGCCATTCTAATCTTCAATTTTATCAATTTTATCCCCGAAAGGACATCGGGGACATCCGATAAAGGATGATGTACAGCACTGTAAAGGCGGAGGTGTCCAAACTTTCTCATTTATGTGCTTTTGGACAAAGTCTGGAAGGGGAAGAAATTCCATCATATGTAAGCTTTAAGGTATCCAAAACAATGAGATGCACTTGAACGAACGTATTATAAAGATTTCATGGATTATAAATTGTCATATACACGAGGTTTGTTGTTGATAACAATGAGCGCTTAGACCCCATGAAGACCAAAATGTTTATGTAAGGCGCCGCGTGAGACAAATCGGAAAAAGTTGGAGCCAATTCCCAAGTCTTGTAGGCCCAAGTATCATGGCAACTAAGGACAATGTGGTGCAGAAACCTCTACCCTCACTTTTCACTATTTCAACTTGCGCAAATATATAAAAACTGTGGTGATAATTGTTCAATGAAGTGGCAAAATAAGCTCCAAAGTAGGTCATGAACATGGTGGCTACTTGGCTACACAGTTACTGTAAAGGAAATAAAAGATCTAGTCTTTCCTCGGTAGATAAAGGGATCAATATGTGGAGGCTTATATGTACTCACACCACCGAAACCTATTTTATAGTTGTTTTGGCTAGGTTTCCCTAATACAGCATTTCGAGATCTGCAATTCCATGCCTTCAAAATAGAAAACCTTTGTCAATTGTATTTTGTAACCATATACAGACTTGGTTGACCCTGTCCAACCTCAGAATAAAATAATCAAGATCTTGAGTAATTCGTTTTTTCGCCTTATTCATCAATTCTGGGCATCAGTTGAGGATGGCTTCGACTGATGCCAAACGTTTGCTGTCCTTGTCTAGATCAGTGCAGGACACATGAGTGTGGTATTTTTGTTATCTTTACAATCCCTACTCTTGCCTAAGAATCCGCAAGTTAAAGTAACCTTTTGGAGTTACCATGTGAAAGGTAGAAGTAAAAGGTTAAGGTTGGACTATAGGTAAATTAACGGTTAAGCTCAAGTTAGAGCTAAATGGATTATACTGTAATTATTGGGTAATCTTTTCCCATTGCAAAAGAAAAATTTTCATGGAAGATGCATGCCGTATTTTTGCCATGTTTCTGAGGAAGCGCAACGCCGAAAGGGACCTTTATCGCGTGGGTTTAGGTAAAGTCTAAACCCACCGACATCCCTATGTGGTACATGAGCTCGAACAAAAATCAGCAAACATAACAGAAGTAGTAGGTACATCAAGCAATGACATCCTTCTGTGGTACATGAACTCCCCGAACCGCCAACGGAGAAAGAAGCGTAACAAAACAGAGAAAAATGGCATGGTCATGGCCCTCGCTCGTTTCTTGTTAGAGATGATAAACTCGATCAATGTCAGGCAAAAGATGATAATTGATTCACAGAGCTCGGGAATAAAATGCAGAAGTATTTATCCATTTTGTAAACGGGTAAATTACCCTATTTACCTCTACCTTTTATCGATTTAGCAGATAACCTTTTAGGGTTACCTGGTAAATCCTAAAAGGTTACCCAGTATAGATAACCTTTTATCTTTTAAGAATGTGTACCAGTTAACCTCTTAATTACCATGAGATAGAGGTAAAGGGTAAGGTAAAAGCCCATGCATTAACCGGTAACCTTTTACGCTACATTGACTAGGCTTAGTCTTGCCCACTGGCATTCGTTTTGTAAATTCGCTACAAATTGTGAGCACCATCTTGCAAACCAACTAGCTTCTCGTATGGAATTCTTTGTTTGCAAACTTTCAAGTTTGATATTGAAGATGTTGATTCTTTACGGGCTTGAATTTCGAAAGAGAATGAATATTCATCTTCCTGTATTAATCTTCCAAGTTTACCGGTTGTTAGTGCAATGAAGAACCTTAATTCTTCCCATGTTTCGGAGGTGGATATTTATTTGAATAGATGGACAGTCAGTGTAACGGTTGAAACCAAGGTTTCCTAATATAGTAGGATACGAAGAGATTATTCTTTATTTCATTACACAATAAATACTCATACAACTACGGATTCGGATTTTCACATGTTCGTAAATTATTATATATCAAACTCGTCTCTAAAGATTATTATTTTACTTAGCTTCTTGAGAAATCTCATTTTAGGCCGTATGCAAACTGTTTTGCCACAGAATACTGTTTAGCATTATAGATAATAGGAAATGATCATTTTAGACAATGCGGTGTCGGATGGTTCAGTAGTGTGTAGACTATCGGAGGTTACTTAATCAAACAAATTTTCAATGAGGAATATGTAGTACATAGTCATTATGGCGACCTATTTAATTACTGCCTTGGTTTATCACTTTATTTAGTTCCTTGTTGAGCTTTTTAGGGTGTTCCATCCTTTTCTTTACCTCCTTGGCCTATTTGAGTTCTTCCCATGCCAAAGACGAGAGATGACTCGTTCCCGTGTCAGCACTTGAGATGGGAAATAGATCTGGAATTGTTTGTGCTCTTGGTCCGTAATGAGCCTAGTTGATCGTATCCAGCGAACTCGGGGGCTGTAAATATATTTATATATTAAATTGAAGGAATGATCCGGCCGATTCAGCATATCTTCCTAGAGTGCATGTACCTTCTCCGGATTTTGGCGAATTTTCAGAGATGTCTGGCATAGAGTGCCTAGAAGTATTGTCAAGTTGTGTGTTGGTCCAGTATAAGGTCTTGGGGCAAGATATTCTGCAAGAACTTGAGCGTCGGCAAAAAGAGGAAATCCTATCGTCGCCCTAGAAGTAGGATACAGCAGAAAATCAAACTTCGCGAAGCAGTTTCAGCGATTGACAGTAGTTGCTTTCGTTCAGTAGTCAACATTTCTAAGCAGATTTAAGCCGGAGGAAAACCTGCAATCCAACAGTGGCAGATTTTCATTGACATAAGATTCTTATATCTACGTTTAGAAGAAGAAGGGCCAAAATATCATATGGAATTCCTTGTCGCTGGTTGCTCACAATTGATATCAGCTGCTCCCCTGTCCCCAATTCATTTGACCTGTAGCAAGTCTTGTCCCTACTTGTATGACTTCATCGAGATGGACACTTCAAAGCGGATTGAAGATACTTCTGACTCGCGGACTCCAGCTCCAGGTGTTGGATAGAAAGGCCAATGGCAGTGCAGAGCTACATATATAGACCCTGTTGCGTTGCCAAAATGCTCACGTCTGAATGCAGAGTCCACTTTTCTTCGTTCGTCTGACACCCCCATAGTGTCCACAGACACATTCCCTGGTTGGTGGTT